CGCAATGCGTCCCAATCCACAAGCAGCCAAACAATTACCAGAGAGAACAGAGGTCCCACACTCAGGAGCCGGACGGCTTTCACACGGTGTGGACCGACTCTGGAGCACCATGAAGGGATTTATACCGTACTGTATTTAACCTGAGTGTGATCGCTAACATCACCGGATGAAAAGCTTGATCATCATTGGTGGTAACTTTTCACCAAGTAATGATTCATTTCTATATTAGTGTCAAGAAATATGAAAAATGCCAATCGTATTTTCTAAAAGATGTCCAAACAGATCCACGTCATCAAGGTTTTATTTTTAACCAGCGTGAGAAAAAAAACACTAACACTTCACTTAACGAGCAAATGAAAAGTTCAGATGCTCATATGCAGATTTTTGAACAATACTAATGAGCCCAACAGATGCCCCTCGTCACCTTTCTGGATCATTTCTGCCAGGTTAGGCTGAGCGAAGACTTTGGCCACCCTGAAGACCATCAGCGCATTTTTGGCGTTCACCAGATCGGTCCTGACCGCTCGGTTCAAAAACACCTGGAAGAGCTTCGTGTACATGAGCAGGTTCTCATGAACAAAGGACTCCCTGCAGGAGACAAAGTTATCATCAGAACCTCATCTATCAGTCTGAACCCAAAAACAGCAACAATCCCCAGACTTTCACCTTTCTGAGGGTCCGAGTCAGAGCTATGATTCAGTCAGCAAAAAGAACGACAAGCCCAAAATATCAGGTTTCATTAAAAATCTATTTATTAAATATGTCTCATTTAAAATCTACATTAATTTTAGTGACATTTGACCCAGTGAATCCTTTACACACCTGGGATCACATGACTCCTGCAATGAAAAATCGCTTTAGCTGGCGTCCCAGCATCAGTCCGATCAACAGTATGTGGATAGAACAGTAAAAACAACACAGCGAAGATACTGTAACTGTAACTTACTGTAACTTTTCATTTGTTGCCTTTGTGTCTTAAGACTCAGGTTTTCATCAGTTTGTCATCACTTTGTATATTTCACTCATCGTTTGAAGGTTTTGTCTGCCTGCTAGTTCGTTGCGGCACAATTTTAAGTGTAAAATGTGCCCATTTTAAAAAAATAAAATAAAATAAAAGACCTTTGACGCAGTAAAATATAATATTGGGGAGCTGGTTCTATTT